TTCAGGTCTGGTTCCAGAATCGAAGAGCAAAGTGGAGGAAGAGAGAGAAGGCTGGGGCCCAGACTCATGCTCCTGGTTTGCCTTTCCCCGGCCCATTGTCAGCCAGTCACCCTCTGAGCCCATACCTTGATGCCAGTCCTTTTCCTCCCCACCATCCTGCCTTGGACTCTGCCTGGACTGCGGCTGCTGCCGCAGCTGCCGCTGCCTTCCCCAGTCTACCTCCTCCCCCCGGCTCCACCTCCCTGTCACCTAGTGGGGCCCCTCTTGGACTCAGCACCTTCCTGGGGGCAGCTGTGTTCCGGCACCCAGCCTTCATCAGCCCTGCGTTTGGCAGGTAATTATTCCCATTTCTACCTTCTCATCCTACTGCATGCAAAACAAGAGTGGGAATGATGTCACTTCAATCTTGCATCATTATAGCATGAAGATGTCACACCTCTACTATGGGTTTTTAGCCTTTCAGCTGCTGTGTAGTATACTAAATGCATATGTAACTTGGTATCCATTCATATACTTATAATGCAATATATCAAATACATTATAAAACTTATTTCCATCTAATCAGAAACTAATTTATTATAGCCATGGTTACTAATTGTCACCAATCAGATTTATGGGAACTCAAGTTAGGTGGAACCTACAGCAGTCAGTGTTGCCTACAGCAGTGCCAGCTGATCTGTTGCAAATTTTGCTGCCATTTCCTGAGCTCCAAATTTCAGGATGGGACACCCAAAAAGTTTAATTTATTTATCAGCAGCATAGGCTTATTTCTATGTGATTTTTACAGAAGGCTCCACTCAGTTTGCAATCATTTTTTGACCCTCTCATCTTCCTCTCTGCTTTGTAAAAACTGCCCTGCCTTGTAAGTGTGTACTGTGTATGACAGTAATGTAAAAAGAGAGCTGATGGAGGGGCTCCTTGCATGAGACCATAATTGTCATCCTTAGATTAAATCAGCCTTTCTTGACCTTTTTACCCCAGGTGAACCTTGGAAATAATTTTTTAGGTCTCAGGGAACCCCTGTTGAAAATGATTATATCTGCAGCCCAAAGTACGTTAGCATGATCAGCAAGTTGTAGAAAGTTTTTAGAAAAGAATGTGGCATACATAGTGTAGTTAACTCCCGCATCCAATAATTTTTTTAAACATCCTCCCAGTTCTATATGACAAAATTATCTTCAGTAGTCATTCTTAAATGTAATAATAATAATAAATAGGAAAGAAGCACAGATTTCAATTTTAAAATGCCCTTTTACAGTGGGGGTCAATGGAAAAGTGTCCTCCTATATTGGTGGACAGTAGAAGGAGAGCTCCTTACATTGGTGGAGAGTAGAAGAGTGCCTTATATTGGTGGACAGTGGAGAATTTTCACAATTACATTGGTGGCCAGTGTAGAAGTAAACGATTAAGTTGGCCATACATGAGTAGAATTTAGTTTGAAAATTTTAGTTTTTGGAACATTTGTTCAGTTTTCTAATGGTTAGTGGGGTCAAATCAATGTTTGTTTTGACTGCAGTGACAGGAGAATTTGAAGCAGTAGAATGGAAATCTTTTCTCATATGAAGTAAATTCTAACTGTAATTGTGTATGTGTTATTCGTTTGGTTTTTTTTTAGAAAAACCATACCTACAGTATTGTAATGAGATCTGTTTAATTTGTCTGGAATTCCATTCGAATAGCAGATCTAGAAGAAATTTTAAGGACATTTGAACAAAATTAGTTCACTCAACGATGGCAAGAAAGTTGTTCTGATGAACATTTTTTATATGAATGTTTGAACAAAAATCTAACCATGTATGAAGAGCTTTACCTTGGATGTCAGTGGAAACCCTAGGGTTTTATTGAACCTCAGTTGAGAAAGGTTGGTGTAAATAGTCTCAAAAAAGCCTAAAATGTACTTTTTAATGGGACTTGGTGGTTAATATTTTGCCACAATTTTGCACAGAGCTCTGACCCGTAAATGGGGACGTTTCTCCTTTTTCCATAAGTAGGCCACAACTGTGTAGCAGTGTAAGTTAGTTTACACCAATGTGCTTTCCTTTGTATTTTAATGCTCAAGAAGGCCCATTTAATTCCATCAGGATTCGGGAAGGGAGCATTTACTGCTAAAATTGTATGTGAAATGCTGTGTTTCTGCAATGTCCTCATAGATACATACATACTGCAGCATGGGGCCGATTTACTCCGAGTGCTGTAATAGTCCTCCTCCTAGGACACCTTATTATAGCACTAAAAATGCACTTCAAAATTGCATGTTTTTTGAGCCATAGGTTTTCCTGCACAAATTTAAAGAAGGCCTTAGACCAATGTGATGTCTGCTGTTCCAAGTGCAAGTACTTTATGAACTACCATAAAGCTACCAATGGACTCATTTCACTCTGCAGTAGCTACTGTTTCAGAAAGAAACCCTTTCCAGTACATTACAGGATGCTATTCCATTAACTTGGGCAAAGATTAAAGATGATGGGAGAAGTACAGTAACCCATAGCAACTTACTGCATTTAAGTGCCCTATAATTAAATGATATCAATTAATCAATTGCATACTGAAATTCTACATATAGATCACTCAATAATTAGTTATTTGTTTGGTTGCTAATTTTTACTGCACTTTATCATTGTTACTTATTGTAAACCACGCATTTCATATAAACCCTGGCAAAAGTGTTATTTTGTTTCCGGCAGACATATGTCTTATTTCCCATGTAAAATATTAATAATGATATCAAAGACAAATATGTACATCAGCCAGAATTTTAGATGAAAGTCTCATGATGTATGTCCCAATTAGTGTGTGTTGAACAGACATTTTTTACTGGAATTATTTCAAAAGTGAGCTGAAGAAAGATTATAACACAAGCATGGATGTTCAAATAATCACAAGCTAATTAGCCACTAACCAGACACTTTACATCTGGAAAGCTCTGTTAGTTGTGTTTTATAGAGGGATGGATTACCATTTTTTTACACATTTTACTTGCTGAATGAGTATATGAGCATTTCAGTGTGTGGATGTTCTCCTGTGTCTGATCTTGTCAGGGCTCAGCAATGACATATACTAGAATCTCTCAGTAGCTAGGCCAAGAGTCCTCAAATATCACTGCAAGGCAACCGATGATCACAGCCACATCACATGGAGAGCCTATAAATTTTGTGTCTCCTGGGTCTGTCACCTGTGTTTTAGTGACTTCTGTAGGGAGAGCAGTAAAACATCCCTAGTAAAGTATAATGGCACTTCTGTCATTCAGCTTAGGATGTTAAGTCGCTGATGGATATTTGACATTCGGCTTTTAGGAAAATGTACACAACTATTAGTTCCTGCTAGAGAAAGGCCAGGAGTCCTGAGTAACCGGGATCTGTGTGTACTGTCAAATGGGAACACAGCTGCTGTTCATTTCCACTGCAGGGTCACCACTGCACATACTACGTTATAAATGATTTTTCCAAGCAGTTAACTCTTGTTTTTCCAGATTAAGATTTAAACATCAGTGTATGAGTTCATTTTATCTTTTGAAAGCAAAATAATTGGATATAATGAAATACAATTTCTGCACCTTCTGTAGGAGGAGAAAAATGCACAAGACAAGGATAGAGATAATGCCTTAGCCACAATATAAAGGCCCAGCCTGGCTTGCTTAGTACTTCATAGATTCCTAAACTTTCTAACCACAGGGCAACCATGTTGATGGGGATAATTATTTAATATGTAAAATATAATGTGTATGTGTATGTGTGTATGTGTGTGTGTATATATGTATATATATATATCTCATACTGGTGTAATTTTCAAAGGATACACATTCAAGCTGTATTTTTTTTTTATTCTTTTGTTTTAATGGATAATGATATGGAGTAAATATATCCCCCCTTAGTAAATCCGTTAATTGCTTTTTTTATCTATTTATTTTTGCGCTGTTTATATTGCTTTAGCATAGTTTGTTGAAATGCAAATTAAAACATTATAGTTTGCATAGTGCAAGAACAGGTTGTTCAAATGCATTCTAATTAGGTGGTTTGGTATAAAATACAAGAAATTACACTTAAATGGGCTGAATTGCTAATATTTCACCTTGCTTGTATATTAATGTATATATTAAATAAGATTTAAAAAAAATTATATATATATGTTTAGTTTTTCTTTTTAATTGTTCTGAACCTGATTGGATATTTGACTTGAACACCAGAGAACAGGTTTTCTGCCCATGGTACACTTAAGAAGGTACTTCTGGTAGGTTTTCTGCCCATGGTACACTTCAGAAGGTATTTCTGGTAGGTTTTTTTGCCCGTGGTACACTTCAGAAGGTACTTCTGGTAAGGTGAAGAGGTCCTTATAATGAATTGCTCATAGCAGTCTGGAGATGTCCAAGCAATAAAACAGTTAGAACATGAATCTTGTGAAGTATTTCTTATTTAAAACAAAACACTAGGTATTGTTTGAAAGACATTCATATACAATCAGAGTGAGCAATGAAGACCCATGTTAAGGGGTTCTTGAGATTAGTGGACCCACATTATGGGGTGGTAGGGACGGTGGCTTTAAAAAAGACATACTTAAAAAGGATGAAAACATTGGGCAAATGTTACCATTGGTTACCATTTATTAAATCAGGGACAAACTTTCCGTGCACTTGCCCATGTTGTGGAAGATATATTTGTTTTTTTTCCCATATATTGACATTGAAGCATATGACTGTCTGAGCGTCATATTGTTTTGATATGTTATGTAGCTCTGGTTACAAATATCTAATTTTATTTTTCAGGCTGTTCTCCACGATGGCCCCTCTAACTAGTGCTTCCACTGCAGCAGCCCTGCTCAGGCAACCCAGTCCCGCTGTGGAGAGTGCAGTGCAGTCCAGCGGCCTGTCAGACCCTGCCACCGCTGCAGCAGACAGAAGGGCGTCTAGCATAGCAGCCCTCAGGCTAAAAGCTAAAGAGCATGCAGCACAACTCACACAGCTGAACATCCTCCCTGGAAACAACACAGGGAAAGAGGTTTGCTAAGCCAAGGGCACCTCTGCTGCAAACTCACCAAGACCAAATGGAAGCAAATGTGGACCAGTGACTATAGAGCATCCTTGTCTACCCAGACATGTCATGCTTACCACTACAGTAATAATGAGTGTTAAAATATTATGCAGCTCCAGAGCAGTAAACCTTGGTATGTCCTCCACTGCCACCCCTCTTCCTGCTCATTTCACCATGACGTCCTAGTATGCGCAAATTGATGTATTAAAAACGCAGTTTATTTTCTCTCCATTTTCAAATGCATTTTTCTTGTTTCTAGGCTAAGACATTCCCAAAACAATCCTTTTTCTGCACATGTTCCAGTGTTAAAACCCCATGCTGTTAACCCACTACCTGCCAGAACTGCCAGCAGGCCGAAATTTTACTTATGCAGGACTTTTTGCTACAAAGATTTGATGCATACATACCTATAGTTCAGTTAGTCAGTGCACTTATAAGAGCTGTATATCTCTATACTGTATTATTTTGTTTATCATACACCAACCAAGGTTTTTTTATACCAAACCAAAGGGAAATGAACTGTCAGATTTATGGACTGTTTAAGTCACTAAACTGTGATTATTGATTCTGTATATAACATTGTTATAAAAAATAATAAGGAAAAGAGCTTTGTATATTTGAAATGTTATAAAAGAATTGCACTCAGTGTAGTGTTGTAAAAGTTTGTCAAACTGTAGAATTCTCTGTGTTGTAGATACCACAAGGTTCCTAGCAAAAATATTTATGTACAAACTCTTTATTTAACTTATTAACTGTAGAGGTTTCTCAGAACTTCAGAATGATGCTACCGTACCTGTGTAATGTTGTTTCATTGTCACCGCCTTCCCATGCTCTTCGTTGGGAAAGTGAACCACTCAGAATAAAAAAAAAAAAAAAAAAATCAACTCTGTTTAACAAAATATTGTGAAGCCTGTGACATCTATTTTCTTGTACAATGATAATGTGTTTAATTTAATTTTTTAGTTTCATAAAGATTTTATTAGGTTTCACTGCAGTACAGAGAGGCTAGTATATAGTACTGCAGAACACAATAAACCAGATAATATACAGCAAAGGGTATCAACCCATTCCCCATCCGCCCAGGTAAATATCCAGCAAAGTAGAAAGGGTGTAGTGAGCCAAGGCTCTGGTGCAAGTATAATGGCATCAATAGAGCAGTTCCCCAGCATCAAAGGGGAATGGGTGTCCTTTCCAAAGTCAAGGAGCTTATGGAAAAAGAAAAAAAGTGAAAAAAGCCAGTTGGACTTCCGTGGCAGGGGGGTCTGACCAGAGTATTAGGGGAGGTAAGGATAGATATCAAGCAGGAATGTGAGTTGGGTATGATTTACGTTTTTATATAGTATTGGTAGTTTCCCACAGCCTGTCAGTCATGTTAGTCCCAGCCCCTGAGGAAGCTAATGGTTTGCTTTCCCTGTTATACTCGCACACGCAGAATAAGGACAATTTGGAGAGAAGCTAAAACAAAAACTACCATGGATCAGTAGCTTTTTTTTACTGACCTTTTACTGATATTAATACAGAGCTGTCAGGATTTGGTGGTGTGGTTCCCATAGGATGAGATACGTACACAGAAGACAGTTGGTTTAGTGTGCTTAAGGGGTAAGGATAATGTTTGGAGGGTTTCGTTAAAGCAGAACTTTGACCTGAATTAAAAAACTTGCAAGCAGGAAGGATATTATGGCAGAAGCAGCGGTGTATCCTCGATATGACTCTTATGGCATGCACCCTGCATCACTTGAAGGGGGCACCATGCAGGGGCAGCACCATGGGGAGCTTTTGGAGTGCTACAACACCCCCCAAAAAATTTTGATTGGCAAATCGAAGCACCCTTATTTTATTACAAAATCCCAGATTTCCTGGAGCCCTCTATTTAATGTCACAGCACAGAATCATGTGTTCCCATGGTCATAGCAGGCCAGCTTGCCCACACCATGGAAATGCATGACACTGATCCAGGATGGAAGGCATCCAGCACAACCCCAGCTTTCAGAAGAAATTGGAAGTTTGACGGTGTCCAGACCTGCTCCGCCTCCTACTATACTGGCACCACTGTACTAGTTATAAAGTAGGACACTGGTGTAAGGAGGCTCAAGACTCTGGTGTGGGAGGAGGGTTCTAAGACATTGATGTGAGAAGGACCCTGAGGACACCGATGTAAGGGGGGCTTTCAGAACACTCATATGAAGGGGGGGGGGTACTGATGTGAAAGAAGAGGACTCTGATGTGAAGGAGGCTTCTAAACATGTCAGAAGTTTCCGCCATCAAGATCTGCTCCACCTCTCACCCTATGCCATGCTGCTGCTGTACTAATTATAAGATAGGACACTGTTGTGAAGGCCTCTGAGGACTTGGGTGTGGGGGTATTGAGGTCACTGGTATGAGGGGCTCTGAAGACACTAATGTGGTGGATCTAATGTGAAGAGTGCATACTAATTTGAAGGGGGCTCCTGATGTGAAGGGGGCATCTAATGTGAAAGGAGGGGGACTCTGATGTGAGGGGAACCTAATGTGAAATGTGAAACTGATGAAACAGTTTGCTCATTCACAGAGACTGCAGAGAGAGGAGAGGAAGATGCTGTGATGCTCACAACAGTTAGTATTGTGAGTGTTGCTAAGGCACCTAGCTGGAACCTGTTGCGACTTCACTGTCACACAGTGTGCAGGTTTACTGGACTGCAATTACAGCTTGGTTAATAAAACAACCACTCTCTGCTATAAATATATTGTTCATTAAAAGATTAGCAAGTTTGACCTGCACACGTGATTTTATATTATGTTAAAGTTTTCTAAAATATGAATGTCAGATGTTTGGACAGGTGTGCAAGTTCAGCTCTTGCAGTAGATGCTTTTTCAATACATATGCCCCTATGCAGAAGAGATATACTATGTCTTGACAGCAATAACCCAAACATGAGAACAAATGGGGAGCAGAATTCCGATTTTCTAAGGGTCACTGGAATTTTCATTGGGTACACTGGTTCTGGTTCGGCAGCACTCCTCAAAACGGGGATCACCCCCAGGATCAGGGAAAGGACCTAGAGTTGAGAATCCACACACAAATAATCCAATCAGAGCGCCAAACAAATGCCCAAGAATCCAAAATAATTTAATGACAATATAGATTCATAACATTATAAAATTCAAAGCGTTTCAAACACACTCCGAGGGCTTAAGAATTTTGACTTTGCTTAAAGGACTCAGGTGAACAGATATCAAATAAATCTGCACTGTGATTTCCTGCTTAGAAAGGGCAACTTACCATACTACTACTATGCAACATGACAAGGAGGCAGTATTGTCTGTCTTACAGTGTTTGTAATGGTTCATTGGAAGGAAGATACTTCCTTTTTACATATCAATAGACACAAAACACAAGTTCACCTTTGGGTATTTCTGGGCATGTTTCTGTATTGCCAGTGCATATAATTATGCCAAATAGTATAGTATACACAATGCAATGTAAACACATACAATTGTATTTGAAATGAAATTTAATTCATTTTTTGATGCACCTGACAAACACATTGTGGGAAATTAAAATACTTAGCAGTCAAAATGCGATTTTAATTGTTAATGTACAGTATATGACTAAACCTCATAGGAAACACAGTGAAAACACTAGCCAAAATCCTGGAAAAGCATGTGTTCAAGTGCTATTAAAAAAACAGCTATAGCATTAGGCAAACTATTAAAATAAGTGTATATACCTAGGATATCATTCGTTTCAACTGAAGTGTTAGTTACTGTATTAGGATGGTTAAAGTCTAAAGTGTGTACTCAGATACAGACTGGAGTACTGGGGCCTACAATGCTTTTGCAATGGATTCTCATCAGATAATCTTATACCTCTCACTATTATCTTTGGATAGGTTAATATGATATTTGTGTAGTACTACTCCCAGATGAGCTGCTGAATTGTTTTGTGATATTAATGCACACCTGAAGATGACAAATCTAAATCACCCTGCGCTTACTGACACACCTTGAGGTATTTCAAAGAAATTATTAGACCAAGCCTAGCCCAAAAATAGAGAGTATTAGTAAGGCAGCTCATACATTAATCTTTTTTTTTGTTCAACCAGTAGGTTGAAGGACAGAAAAATATCTGATTCCCCCATCCACACACTACAGCTGAGCTATCGTATTCTTATGGTGGGGAGACTTCCCCGCTGTCAGAATACAATGATCAGTGTTGCTGGCTTAAAAAAATCTAGGGCTGTGGCATTATCTGCATTAAGATAAAAAAACCTTTCAATAGTAACCCCCGCCCCCCAATACTCACCTGAGCCCAATCTCTATCCAGCGCTGTGCACTTTAGCAGCAGCTCTTTTCCTCTCTCCCCATTCTCACAGGCTTGGCTGTCAGTCAAAACCTGTGAGCAGACAGCGGGTGGTGGGGCCAGGCCAGGCTCTGTGTCTGAATAGACACAAATAGCCCTGGTCGGGATCGAGCACACATGAGTGCCCCCATAGGAAATGGCTTCTTTTGGAGACACTTGGCAAGGGGGAGGAGCCAGGAACAACAGTGGGGGATGTGAGAAGAGGAAGATCAGGGCTGCTCTGTGCAAAACCATTGCACAGAGCAGGTAGGCATAACATGTTTATTATTTTTATTTTAAAAATTTAAGCTTTACAATCCCTTAAAGCGTTTCCTCAAAATTTACAAGCAGAATCAAAGTTATTCATACAGTGTAGCACAAAATAACATTTGTTATCAAAGTTGTCACTATCATGATACTGTAATAGTATGACAGACAAGGCAAAAATTATTTAGCATAATGATCATTATACTGGTAGGCTTATTTTATTAGGTAAGCGCCGTAACCATTAGCAATCATCATGTTTACTGTTTTTAGTACAGAGAAGGCTGATTGCTGATTGGTAAATAGGGGTTCATACACACTACACATTCAGTAACAAGGCATGCTTTACTAAAAGGTTATACTTATTAATACATAGATAAAACCCTGTTCACAT